TGTTTCCTGGGAAAGGCAAGGAGAGGTGGCTTGAGACAAAAGGTGATTATTCTCTTCAATCAAGCCTTGGATGCCAAAGGGATCCAGTATGTGTGTACACTTTGAGTTCCTGTTTCAACGGTTGGCTCAATGGAATTGATCAGCTGGGTAAGTACCCACAGGTGGTTATCAGATTTTGCAAAGGAAATCCCCATACAAGAATATGGGGAGGGATAGGGTACAGTCAAAGCAGATCATATTAGTTATATTTTTGAAAAGGTTAAAAAATGTTTCTATTTTCTGGATAGTGCTCTGCTCATGCACACGTGCACAGATATGGGTAGGCATAGAGATATAGGCACATGGGGGAAGACATATGGGATGAGACTGGGTAGGGAATAAAAGTATACAAAAATAGACACGTTGGAGGAGGAAAGTATTAGGCCTGGGTGACAACGGAAAAATTTGTTTCTAATATCGTTTCGTTTTTAGGGTGCCTCAGCGTTTTGTATTTAAAAATATATCCGAAATTTTCCCTAAAAAAAGTTTGGTATTTACGAAATTTCGTTAATATTTACAAAACGTTTTGTAAAGATGGCGCCCTTTTTTTTTCAATATTTTTTCAATATTTTTTAATTTAATTATTAATTTTTAATCTGGGATAAACTGAACACCTGGGATCAGATCCTGGGATATAAGTTCTGCCTGGAAGGGCCCTGTGATAATCCAGTTCAAAGCAGATAATATGAAAAAAAAATAAAGAAAAAAACTCAACTCTGGGGGGTTTTTTTGTTTTTGTACATCCCCCTGCCATTGGTATTCTGGATCATGTAGTTGTGCAGAAGGGCCCTAAACCTCCCTCTCCACTGCCATATACTCACGGGGAGTGGGTGGCTGGGAGTGGAGTGAGGAGGTCGGCGGGAGAGGTCGCCCCCGGCTGCTCTTGCCCCGCCCCCATGGATGCCCCTTCCTGCCGCCGCTGCCCAGTCACTCCAAGCTTGAGATGGAGCCGGGGGCAGGGACAGCTCAGCTGGCCACCACCCCACCAGTCTCCCTGATAACCGGGCCTGCCGCTCCTCCTCCTCTTCCTCCCCCCTCGCCCTCGGCATCTCCGAGCGGCGCGGCCTGAGGAGGAGGAGGAAGAGAAAGGGTCGGAGGATTGGGGGGGGGAGGAACGGAAGGCCCCATGACCAGGGAGACTGGCGGGGTGGTGGCCAGCTGAGCTGTCCCCGCCCCTGGCTCCCTGTCAAGCCTGGAGTGACGGGGGGCGCCGGCAGTGGAAGGGGCCATCCACAGGGGCGGGGCAAGAGCAGCCAGGGCAAGGGCAGCAGGCTGCGCCGCTCGGCGGGGGCAGGGAGGAAGAGGGACCCTGCTGCTGCTGGTGGTGGTAGTGGAGGTGGAGAAGGAGGAGGATGGGAGGTGGAGGAGCAGCAGGCTTCGATACCACCAGCAGCAGGGTCCCTCTGGCCTCTGAGCCCGCCCAATCAGGAGAACACACAGGGCAATCAGCTCCGTGGGTTCTTCTGATTGGCTCCCGGAGCTCCCAGCAAGCATCTAGCCATCTTACGTATTTCCGAAATGGACGGAAATACAAAAATATTTGGCGCATGCTGTTTCGATTTTGAAAATACACTTCCGGGTTTGGAAAAAAGTTTGATATCGTTTCGTATATGGGAAATTAACGGGGGGGAAAACGATATACAAAATTAACGAACGAAACCGCCCAGCCCTAGAAAGTATACATACAAAAAGGAGAAATTGAGTTTGTTGTGCAAAAGATCCACTACTGAAGACTCAGTTCGCATGTCCACTGGTACATATCAGCATATCTGTATGGGCCTTTAATAAAATAAATATACAAGTGGGCTTTTAGGGATATTTATTTATTTATTTATTTACCATATTTATATACCGCCTTTCTCAGGCCAGATATTGGCTGCTACCGGCTTGTCAGTTGGCTGTGGAGGTCTCATGAAACAGGACAAATGGAAAAATCATTTCTTGTTTTAGTGTCCTTGGCAAATTTTAAATCTTTGAGGAGGGGTGTACTGTGTTCAACAACACTGCAACAGGTTAACATGACTATTTCTTTGAAAATTACAATGAAGAAGTAGTATATTTAAAATAGTAGCTCAATGTGGCACGAACTATTAGGAGTGGAAAGAATATTTGTCATTATTACACTCCTTGCTAAAATACGGGTTTCCTAATGTTTGGGAAATCTGGTCAGGAAAATCAACACAGCTGGGAATTTTGCAGATTTCAGCTGGCATTCACAACTTTTGAAGTATTTCAAGGAATTATTTCTGAATAGTTTTTATGAAAACCATGTGTTTTGCATATTTCTTTCATATAAAACAACCAATATATCCCGAAACCTATGTGCTTTTTGTGCAATAGTGATGTCTAAGAATCAGATCCATCTTTCCCAAGACAATGGAAATGTCTTGTATTGTACGTTTGTACTTTTCAACACTCTTATGACTCTTGCTGATAGTCTTATAAGACAAAGGGAACAATCACTTCTGTGATGGATTTCACTTCAAAAATATTGAAGGTCTACACATTTTT